AGAAAATAAATAGTATGTATTATATATAGATATATATATATATTGAAATATCTATTTTTAATGTCAGTAATTTAAAACAATTTTTTTTTTAATTTAGGTGTTGCTATTGATATTCACAATGACATTACATATATATCAGATTCTTCTGGTAGTTTACTGTCCTTGTCAAATAATAAAACTCAAACTATTTTAATACTTCCTGCGAAGGAAATTTTGTTAGATATAAGTTTTGATTGGCTTAATAATGAAATATATTTACTAATATCAACTTTGACTGCTAATAATATTGAAATTTATAATATCAAAAAATTTGACATTAAGCAGAAAAAATGTATTAGTATTATTTCAGGTTTAGAAAAAAGGCCTAATCAAATGAAAATAGATCCATGTAATGGGTATGTTATTCAAATATTTGAATACTTATTTTAAAGTAAATACTTAAAAGGATTTAGAAGATAGTGTAGAAGCTATTAGTCTCCCATCATTTTAGTTAGCCAAACTATTTAACATTATAATAATACTTAATCAATGTAATACGTGTAAAGTTTTAGAAATTTAAGAGTCCAAATCAATGTCTGCATATTTTTACCGTAGTATGTCATATTGATATTAAACATTGTATTTAATTGTATTTTTATAGATATTTATTTTGGACTACAAGTAATGGACTTTATCAATTGGATTTAAGTAAAAAATTAACAAAATTAGATTTACCTCACATTTTAATATTGCCTCACAATGATCTTGGGCCTTTCATAATAGATTACTTGAATTTTTGTTTAATGATATTATTTAAAAAAGAAAATACTATTATGTCAGTATCATTAGATGGGTAAGTTGCTATATTATTTATTGTTTGTTTATTTTACTCAGTAATAAATTTTCAAAATATTTGTTTTAATTAGTCAAGAAGTACTTGATATTAGAAAAAATACTGCAAGATCTGTATTTGAAGGAGCAATAACATTAGTTTATGCTAATAGTTCATTTTACTGGTCAAATGGTTCAGATTTAATGGGAGAATACCTGATGTCACAACAATATTATCACCATATTTACCCTAATATGAATGTTATTTACCATTTAATTTTATCTAACTTTTCGGATCAACAGCCTATACCATTACCTATAAACCCTCCTCAATCTCTCCAAGTAATTGCTACTTCAAATAAACTAAAAGCTTTTTGGCAAGCACCACATTTATTAGCGGGACAAGGTATAATTTGTGTATTATTTATCTTATTAAATCATTAGGTGATGTGGAATAAATGTATATTTATATTTCATCATTATGATATTCAGCAAATGATACTATTGATTGAAAAAATCTAATCTTTAAATAGTTATTGCAGTTAATAAATAAAAACGTACATTTTTCTTTTTCAAATATATTTACAATTACTCCACTATAAATTATAATTAGCACAATTAATATTATTGATGTATATTATTGCATATTAGGGATTAATTCTTGGCAAGACTGGTTGTATCGGCTTACAATTAATTTTGAAAATGGAACTAATTGGAAAACTATTGATGTTAAATATACTGAAATCATAATTGATAACTTAATTCCGGGGACCAATTATTTGATAAAAGTTGCTGCTTTTTCTTCTGTAGGACAAGGCCCATGGTCATCTGAGTTTGTTATAAAAACTTTAAATCATAATGTGTCAGTATTGTGGGGAAATGCAGATCGAATATTAATATCTGATATAATGGGCAATTACATAAAAACAATTTTATTAAATGAAGGAGAAGTATGTTAGTTTAATAATATATTAATAGTCATAAAAAAATTTAAATTTTATTCAGAAAACAAAAAAATATTCACTGTTAAATGATGTTGCATGGTATGATGACCAAATATACTATGTCTTAAACTCAAGTAAAATAAATTGGTTCAATTTAACAAGTCATCAGCAAGGTACAGTTGAAGGCATTGACAGTGTTCAAAGTATAGCAATTGATTGGCTTGGATGTAAAATTTATTGGTCTGACCCAACAAAAAAATCTGTAATTATTATTTATAAATGTTATATTTTTAGCTTTTATTTAATTTTATTGAAGAATTAAATAATCACCTACTTAAATATTTTTAAAACTTATGGTTCATTAGTATTGATAATGTTGCTAGGTT